TCCCACATGTCATGGCATCCTTAAATGGAACTTCCCCTCCTCCCCCTGGCCTTAAGAAAATTTAGGGATTTACAAGATTTGTGGGATAGTATCACCCACAGTAGAGATGGCCAGATCCTCTGAAGTCTCAAATGATATTTCAGGGAAGAAAGGAGGCTTGTTGTAGATTAAAAATAAGGAGAGAAGGAAGGTAAAACATGGCAGAGCTTTTTGAATTCTGCTACGTAAAAATATTTGGGTTTATTTGGATCAAGTCAATTGTTGAGCTAATGTATGATCTAATGTTGGTGGTTTTCAAAACAATAGACCCTTTCTCATGCATAACAATGTGAAAAAACCAGCCATTCCTCCCAAATAGAAGTCAAAAGTCTTTCAGATTGGGGCAGGTAAGGGTGTCACCCACGCACCCTTTGCTCTATCATACTCCTTCTATCAGGCCTTGTCTACACTTGTTGATCTACTTCAGCTATGCAAATAGTGTAGCTGAAGCTGACATACAAACCGTGGTGTCTTGCATTCATTAAGGTCAGTGGGGGCTGCTCTCTCGTCAACACTGGCTACTCTTCTGGTCTTGTTGGAATGACAGCATCGATGGGAGCACGCTTGGAGATCAATTTATTGTGTCTACAGCAGACATGAAAAATCAATGGCCGGTGGAATGGTTGCTGCTGTACCAGTCCCTGGTGTGATGTAGACAAGCCTCAGTGGCCTCTAATGGCTGTTCTGGCTGCTGGAGTTCACTGGGATGCAGTTGCATCCTAGCTAAAACTCTCTTCTCCCTAGCTCCATGAGGCCCAGGGACAGGTGATGTAGGAACTGCAACACTGGCCTGTAGCAGCTGGCCATTTATGTTAGACTGAAGTCTGCTTTGTGCAAATTCTACTGTGCAGTGAAACTGACTTGAATCAGACGTGTGTGTGGTGCAAAGCAGACTTAACAGGGCTGAGGTGCTACCCTAAGGTCTGTAGGACGCGTCCTTTGGGAGAACACTATTGAATATATGTAAGTCTAAATTCTTAAATGCTACCTTTTGTGACTGTGTTCTTGTTAAATGGCTTAATTGCTCAACCTATTGAACTTGAATCCAGGATTCTCCCTTAGTCTATTTTCATAGACGACTCAATTGGTTACACAGAAGTAATATACACTGCAATAGACTCATGGCATAGTCACAAGAATGGGATCCCAAGTTTGCTGCGTGTTAATGTTACAACATAAGTGTCCCTGAGTACATTGGTTCTGACTTGGTGTCTGCATAGAACTGACTGAAGTAATGTATATGGTAAAATTCCCAGGCACTATTAGGAGATATCAAATACTGCCAGGCTGGAGTTGAGCAAACAGCAAGAGAGAGCACTTTGTACCAGAAGACAGAAGCAGGCAGGGAAATGCTCATACATTGTAGAACACTGAAACAGATGAGCATTTGTTACCTGTACACACATTTAATTTTGTGATCAGTGAAGAAGAGGAATTGGTTACACAATTTTAATTAAAGATGAGCCAAACTAAATAACAGCTTTGAATGTCCACAGCCTCTCAAGATGTTAGAGACTGGATCCAGATTTGAACAAAGCTCATTTTTATTTGAAACGTTAATTTAACACTAAATAGTAAAACTATGAAAAATCTAACATGTGAGTCACTGGGGTTGAAGCCAATGTTTATTTTGGCTTACACTCACATGGGTTTGTGGCCCTCATCCTTCTGTCACTTACACTGATGGACCCGTATTGTCTAACATGGAATTACTCGTGAGGTTTCCTCTGAGTTTCCAGGGAGAAAAAGTCAAAGTGTTGTAGAAATCTAAATCAGTAAATATATAAGGTGGAACCTGGCATTCAGCTGCAAAATTGTATGAAACCACAAATTGCTGTAGGTGGCAGCTCAAAACCACAAATCATCTTAGATTTTTTCAAAACTAGGTTCAGTTCAGAGGCAGAGGCTGAAATACAACTCAGAGAGGAGCTAGTTTTCAATAGGGTCAGGATTTCATCCTGAGTTTTCAGTTTTTGCATTTGTAACTAAAACTGACACCAGTTGACTCTTGCTTGGTTTCTGGTTTAATTGGAAACATTTCTCTGCGATTTCCTTTTTAATTTGTAATTAGCCCCTCCAGTCAGTGGAATGTCTAAATGCCCAATATTTCTCTTGACGCCTCTTGGAATATAAAGTTTCAGCAACATTTCTTCTGGAAAAAGAGGTGCATAAGAATGCCAGTGTGTTCTGTGCAGTGACTGGTGGGAGATAGTTCAGTACTTTTAAAAAGCACTCCCAGTTTTGGGTGTAAAATCTAGAATGGATGCTTTAGGGGGACATTACTATGTCAGTTGTACCAAAGTTCCCATCAAGGAGGACAGAAAAATATTTTCTGGATATTGCACTCAATGACCTGGCTTTTGTTGTAGCTGTGCATGGTGATGGACACACCATCTTTGCAAACTTTAAAATGGGTATACTGCTGAAATTTACAAGAATTGACCACTTACAGAACCATACTGTCTCCATGATGTTCTCTATACCATGGACTCTTTACAGAAATTGAAGCAATCGGGCAAAGCAAAAGGCTGGAACATCCTACACAAGTTAATGTCACATGCACGATATTAATAAATCTAGCAGCATGGTTTGCTATTGGTGGATCCTATAGTTGAAGGGGTGGGATTGTATCAGAGTTATAGCCCCTTTTTAAAAGGGTTAATTGATATTCTAAATACTATGATGATATTAATATTCATTAGCGTTCACATATTACAGATAAGCTAACAGTTGGTGGAAAATTATTAGAAGAGTCTGTTTAGAAACAGAGAACACTCACAGCATTTACATATTCACATTTTTCTTCCCCTGTTGGATACCATGGAGATATTTGTTTGAAAAGGCATTTCATTTGTGACTAGTGATTATCCCTCTCCTCTCTGGATATTAGAATAATTTCTAAGATTACTCCAAGAAGTAAATCTCCTGGACTAGATCCATTTCTGAGCTGCAGTGATCCGATCTGCTATTTTCATATAAATGCCCCTCTTAACAAGCGAGGCAGGGAAAATACAGGGAATACATTTCTATTGAGACGTAATGACCTCCAGTAACATGCTGTGTGCATTACATGTACTAAAAAGACCAGATTCAGCACAAACTGTTGAGATCTGACAATAATTAATGAACTGCCGTTACACAAGCCTGACAAGTTAACATTATATAATAACTCCCTGGCTTCCACCTTAGTAGCTCAATCTCTTCACAAACATCTCAGAATACAGGTGGGCTTTCAAAAGTGGGATATTGCTCTTAGAAGGTTGATAAACCTGGGTGCTGGTAGACTAAAGAGGAGAGTGAATTCCACATCCCACTTTAAGCAGCTCTTCTAATCACAACTGCATATGGGAAGCCAGATAGTTTCTCAGGTCAGCAGGTCTCAAGTCATTTAAGATTTGTTCTACATTGAATTGTCCAGGAAAACTGACCGCCTGAGAAAGGGAAATCATGCTGCATCCTCTTTGAAAATGGTGCATTGTGTTTTGGAAGGCATTGTGCCTCCCAAGTCCCACACCTTTGGCCTTGAAAACTTAAGCCCTCCTCTCCAGCTGAAATGGCTGATGCAACCTTAAGTAGAATTGCCTCCAAACAGAATGTCTGTAAGAGTTTTCCATGAAGAATCAGGAAGTCTTTCAATGTGATAGCTTCAATGTTGTTTCTCAATGTGGTATGCCTCAGACCTGATCCTATCTAATCTAATCTATCCATCCATCCATCCTCGTCCACTCAATCTACCTATTCTCATCCACTTTATCTATCTAATCTATCTATCTGAGTGGATCATAAATTATTTGAAACAAGCACATTAGCTGACTTTGTAAGGGTATCATAGCTCTCTTACCAAGCTCCTCCAGTTCTGAGAGGGCCGGCAATTTAAATCCAGATCCAATTTTTGACACGCATTTTTCATTTTAACGTGGGTGATACTGGACATAAAATTACCCTCTCACCAATAACACCTTTATCTGGGCCTTCATTTGTCACTCTACAAATGTACACCATCCACTGGCTATAAAATAAATATCTCAGAGTTCCAAATTATGCTCCTCAGCAGAACTCTGATTTCACACCAATTCATACTGTCCATTCAGGTGTCATGGAGGAATTCACTTGTGTTGTCACTTGGATCATGTTGGATTGCATTCAATAACTGAACTTGTTAATATGCTATTGAATAAGATGAGTTGAACTACTATTTTCTGGCTGTGGGGAGCTGGCTGTTCCAGATGCTGCCCTTTCTGGGTTTTTTTTTACAGTGGATACATCTTTTATTAATACAATTTATTTATTTGGAGAGCTGAGAAACCAAAATCCAAACAAAAATATCTCTGTCCTGAGAGAGAAGGAGCTGGGGTCTTTGTACTTGATGCATCACCTCAGAGAGACCTAGGGATTGGCCTTGGGTATTTTGTGCCTTCAGTGGACTTCAATTTGTAATCCCCTCCTGATTTCCCCCCTCTGTTCTACTCCACCTCTCTTCCACGCCTAGAAGAGTGTGGGGATTGTGGGAGAAGGCTGGGTAGGACAATAGGAGTCATTGAATATTTGTTCTTAAATACAATCAAGAAAATATCTATGGATGTTTATAAAGTTTAAAGTTCTTTTCAGCTTCTTTCTTAGGCTTTATCTGCTGTATTCCCCAGAAATGTATTGCACTCTCTATTGGGCTCGAGGAGGTTATCTTAATAGCTGAATGTTGTCTTTTTTAGAAAGACTGTTGTGTATCCCTTTCATTTTTCACTCAGAAGTCGACAGGAAAAACGGGTGGGTAAAGTTGTATTCAGAGGTAATGTACATCACCAGTTAAATGCTACCCTGAATCTGATGTTGAACGGGTTGAGGCATCATCATTGTGTATCTTCTTTGCCTGCAAGATGTGTCATATGGCTTTTAAAATCTAGATAAGCTTAGAGACTGCAGTAATGGGGACCATATAAGTATGATAGCTAGGTTACTAGACAGATAGACAAAGAATTAAGCAAAAAACTGCTCCCACAAACGGTTTTTACTTCACCGTGATGCTACCAGTCCATATTTTCTGTAGAGAATGCTGTTTTAGATACACAGCTCTATTCTTTTTCAGATAAGATCTGTGATCAGATCAGCGATGCTGTACTAGATGCTCATCTTCAACAAGATCCAGATGCCAAAGTTGCTTGTGGTAAGGCCATGCACTTTTTCTTTTTTCACTTAGACTAGATGAAAAATGACTATTCCATTACCACCTGTTTGCTGTTCCCCCTTTAGCATATATACGTGTAGGAGGTTGATAGCAATAGGCGCCCACTCATTTTTTTCTAATTATCACGTTTATTTATTCCAGTGTTTAGCCGTCCTGACAGCCAGGAAGCTTTTCCTAACGTACAACCTAAACATCCCTTGCTGCAGTTTAAGCCCACTGTTTCTTGTCCTATCCTCAGATGTTAAGGAGAATAACTTTTTAGCCTGCTAGTCCTTCCCTTCCTCAAGGCATGTTATGAGGATAAATGGTTTCATATGTGCCAGGAACTAGTACTATGGAGATGGGACTAATAACTCCATTTATTATTTGTGTTCAGTAGGAGCTGCTCAGAGCTCCATTACCAGCAGTGAAATTATTTGCAATAGCATGTTAAATTATCCTCCTTTATCCCAATTTCCTTCTTTCTGTAGAGACAGTGTGTAAGACAGGCATGGTGCTGCTCTGTGGGGAGATCACATCCCTCGCCGTTGTCGATTATCAACGAGTAGTACGAGACACAATTAAGCACATCGGCTATGATGATTCAGCCAAAGGTTGGTGGAAAAATTCCAGGAATCCTGTTTCTTGCCAGCATGGTGTGCTGGTCAGTGAATAGTTAAAAACATAAGAACTGCTCTACTGGGTCAGACCAAAGGTCCATCTGGTCCAGTATCCTGTCTGCTGACAGTGGCCAATGCCAGGTGCCCCAGAGGTAGGGAACACAACAGCTAACCCTCATGTGATCCTTTGCCTGTCACCCATTTCCAAACAAACAGAGGCTAGGGGCACCATTCCTAACCATCCATGAATCTATTTAGCTCTTTTTTGAATCCTGTTAAAGTCCTAGTCTTCACCACATCCTCTGACAAGGAGTTCCACAGGTCAACTGTGCTGAGTGAAGAAAAACTTCCTTTTATTTGTTTTGAACCTGTTGCCTATTAATTTCATTTGGTGACCCCTAGTTCTTATATTGTGGGAGTAAGTAAATAACTTTCCTTATTCAATTTTCCACACCAGTCATGACTGTATAGACTTCTATCATATCCCCCCTTAGTCTCCTCTTTTCTAAGATGAAAAGGTCTTTTTAATCTCTCTTCACATGGGACTCATTCCAAACCCCTAATCATATTTGTTGCCCTTATCTTAACCTTGCAGAACAGGTATATCTCCATGTACATACTTGTGCTATATTTGGGCTTGAGCTGCTCAGACACTGCCACGAGAGAAACATTCTGACTTGGTCCCAAGGAGAAACCATTCACTGTATGGTTAAAGCTCATAGCAGAAAAAGGCAGCTAGGAAAATCTTTTGAACTGTAGCATATTGGCAGAGTAGTACTAGCTGTAAACTTGTGCTATAGAATCTAGTTCTCAGTCTATCTCCCTGTAACTTGTATGTTATTCAAATAACCAACCCGACTCATGTCAATTGGTGAGATGGACTGGAAAGAGAAGACTTGTTGAATTCAAATCACGGAACCTTGGACTGCATCCGTAGACTGTGCCCAATGGCACCGTACAAACATAGAACAAAGAAACAGCCCCAGCTCAGAGGGGTATATTTCGTAGCACCATAAATTGTATTAATGATGCAAAGAGCAGAGGGTCTTAGATTCGAGATATATTTCAACATTCAGTCTCTGTAAACTTATCAATCATTATTTATATATAGCAAATGTTTTTCAGTTGCCATGAAGATTAAGGTTTTTTTTAAAAACGTTTGTTTGTAATATTTCCTGGTTGAGATAATCATGTTGGTACAAGACTTCTGAAGAGAGAATGGTGGGAAAATGCTGTATAAGCACATACGCTAGTTGGCTCCAAAAGCAGAACATTGTGTAACATTATTGCTCTCAGAAAGTATTGCCACATTCAGGAGGGTAGAAATCTCTTCTTGTACCATCTCACCACCAAAGCAATATGACATAGCGAATCCAGTCAAAATCCTTCCCCTGCAGAAACTATCAAAGAAAAGCTAAAAGGGTCAGGATTTTTCCCTTGCGGAGTTCTTTCCCATCACAGCTTATTTAAAGGAAAGAAGGCGTGGAGTGTTTTTCAGGTAGACAGTTGTCTGGATATGCATATTGAATGTACAGGAGTTTGATCCTATAGTTGGCTAGCTCCCAGTAGCTGAAATTTTGGGAGAGATGAGTATAGGGAAAAGTTGATTAATTTCTACTTAACTGGGGATGAAAATGGGAAATTCTGCCAAAATATTCTGCAAGGCCTTGACAGGTTTTTTTTTAAATCCTTTTCACTTGGCCTTTGAAGGCAAAGCTCTCCTTTAAGATCTGGATGGCAAGTCTGAAATCTGCTTTCCTTACATGTGTGGATCTCCCATTGAATCCCCCTCCCCATATGAGACTCTTATATGCATGGAAAACAGAATGTCAGAGCAGAGTTCCACCAAGAGGAGAATTTTACTGAAAATGCCCGTTTGACAGAAAATACAGTGGGCCTTTCATGTTGTTCAGTAATGTCATAGAGAGTCCTAAAATATTAATTCCAACTGTATTCAGATCATGCTAATCTTCAGGAGGTGCTTTGCTGTTGGCTAGTTTCCCAGGGACATTAGATATAGCGGTTGGAAAGAAACTATTAGCAATGCTAATGGCTCTGGTGCTGCAGCTTGGGTTGATTTTCCAGAATCAGAGAAACTAAAGGGGAATTGTATAGTGTTGTTTTCTTTATGCTCCTGCCAACACGATTGTACCCTAACATGTTCTATTGCTTATTTGGTCTACTTCAGCTTCACTTAGCTTATGTGGGGAGGCTTCTGCCATTTACCTTGGGAGAATATTCCTGTCTGACATAACCCTGAGAAGAAATATTCTTCATATTCAGATGGTCCTTTACTTCATTTCATTTCATTCATTGTCCCTAGTGGTATTTCCTTAGACTTGTCCTCCTTGGTGTTTATACTAAATGCAGTGATGACATAGCATGTATAAACTCTAATGGGGAAGGACCACAGCAACTGTGCTCATGCATGATTTCTTATTGTTCCTAATGTTGGGACTTTCCTGAGCCCTGTTTTAGATGAAAAGCCTGTGGCTAAGCAGCTAAGAGAGATGACACCTCGCTGTGAGGCTAGGCAGAGAAAAATACATTAGAATGGCGACACTGACAAAAATGCCAAGAGCAAAGTGCAGGCAGATCGTGAGTTTTGGGGCAGCGTGGTCCAGGGTTGGGATTCCGGGCATGCGGTTCCGTGTTGCTGTGCTTAGTTGTGCGGGGAAGTTCATTTGCTCCTGGTGTCATCCTCTAAACAGGCTTCGACTACAAGACTTGCAATGTTCTGGTGGCACTTGAGCAACAGTCGCCGGATATTGCCCAAGGTGTTCATCTGGACAGGAATGAAGAGGATGTTGGTGCTGGTGACCAGGTAATCAGAAAAGATCCATGTTTACACAAAGAGTAGTAAAGTGAAACACTCTACAGGTTGAACTCTCTGGTCTGGAACCCTTGGGACCTGACTGGTTCTGAACCGGGGAATTTGATAGACCGGGGAGCTCAATGTCAGCCCCTTTGCTCTTGGAGGCCGACCTAGCTCTGCATCTGGCCACTGGCCACTGGGGCTCTCCTGCTCTGTCCCCTAGAGTGCTGTTACCCCCTATTCCCGGTCCTGGGGTGACAGGACTCTCCTATTCCGGCTGCCAGCCCTTGGAGCTCCCCTGCTCCAGCCGTTGGGGTACCACCGCTCTGCTGCTCCACTCCCTCAGGGCAGCGCCTCAAATTACCAGGTCTCCATTCTTTCCAGGTCTGGCAATGCTTCTGGTCCTAGCCCCCCATTTTTTCCCCAAGAGGGTGCATCTACATTGCACCATAGCTTGAAACATAAGCTTCTTTTTTGAAAGAGTTTATTTCAGAATTTGGTGCTGTCTACCCAGTGCCAAATTTCAAAATAACCCACTATTCCAAAATGTCCCTTACTCCTCATGGAATGAGGTTTACAGGGACATCAGAATAGTGACCTGTAATTATGGGCTTGCTGTGAAGACGTGGGATAGCTATTTCACGATACTCCGGTATCCGAAGTAGTATTGCAGTGTAGATGTAGCCTATGAGTGTTCGATCCCCAGAGCACGCAGAGGGTCACTGATAATGCTGGACCAGGTATGTTTCCAGACTAGGGAAATCCAAATTACAGTATCAGTTTATAGGACAATCCACTAGTACACTCCAAGCTCTGCTTTACTCTCAGGGCTGGGATAGATAGGATCACTGAATCTCCTTAAAAGGAACACATTTCTTCAGAAAAGGTCAGGGATAGAAAGTGAGGGCTTAATCCCTTCCCACAAAGACATCACTTTTTCTAAATCAGTGGTTCCCAACCTTTTTGAGCATATGGACCCCTTTTCAATCTATTACAATTTCACAGACACCCCCCATCACTGGGGGAGAAAAAAAAAGGAAAGATCAAGCCCATGGCGGTGGGCCCAATCCTCATTTTTAAACTTTCCCCGGAACCTCTGCAGTACCATCATGGACCACAGGTTGGGAACCACTGTTCTAAATCAAACCCAGCACGGTCATAGTTAATGAGAATTTGTACAATCTCGCCCTGTGCTAACACAAAATAAAATGCACGTCTATGTGAATACATTGATGGAGCTGCCAGGAGGCCAAGTTTATCACTGGTGAAACTTCTTTGACTTCAGTGGAGTTACATTGAGGATAATTTTATTCCTCACAGGAGATCATGCTGTAGATGCTTGGCTAGTTTAAATTGTCGTAGCATGGAGCGGTGGCAATTTACACACCAGCTAAGGATCTGGGCCCTAAAGCCTAGCAAAGTTAGCTTTTTCAAACATGCTTCATATTTCTGTCTTAGCAGGCTTACATTAATCAGAGCAGCGCTTGCCCCATAAGATTAAGTAAATAAATAATAAACAAACAAGATCGTTCAAGATATTGCCACATTTACATGCCTCTTGAGACTGTACATTGTAAAAAGGTGTTCATGATCAGTGTTTCAAGCACAAGCAAGAAGACAACATTTGTAAAACGAAGGCAATTCAGCCAGAACATTTGTAACTCTCATTTATTTCCCAGAGGCAGGGATCAGTTTTAATATAATTGGCGTTCCATATAATTAAGACTGTCCAAGGCATATTTCTGTGAGCTGAATAGCACATGTAGATAATTACAGTCTCTCCCCAAGAGATAGATACCAGCCTAAAAATCCTGCAACTCCAATTGAAGCCAATGCGAGCGCGTGTTTAACATTTACAGTAGTTCTCATTAGCGGTAAGAGCTAGTTTATGGTAATGTTGTTGAGAATTGTAATGGTATCATCATAGAGGCTGGGAATCAAAGTAATTGTACCCCCAAGTCCTCATGAGGACTAAATTAACTTGCATTTCTATCAGCAAAGGGACCCAATAGAAATGCATTTGTCCTAGCTCCCATCACAGCAGTAGCTGAACACCTTCCACAATGTATTTATTCTTGTAGCACCCGGGAGCGAGAGGGCAGTGCTGTTATCCCCAGGTAACAGGCATGGAAGGGAGAAACAAAATGACTTTTACCAGGTCACAGCAAACAGGTCCAAAGCGCTTGGTCCTGCTTCCTCGCTGCAGTATTTCACTAATTCCATTTATGAGGTGTCATTCCACAGGAATGCTGAGGAAGAAGCAGTAAGACTAAGGGAATACCTCTGCTAACACACACCATTGGCCTGTTCAGGTATACTGTGTCTCTTATAGGGGTTGCCAGGTCTGAGAACAAAAAACTGGGACATCTGGGGTGCTCCTGAGCACATGAAACAGGCAGCTGGAAGTATGTACTGAGCATCAGTATAGATTTCCCAGAGCAGCTACCTCAAAAAATTGGGGGCTGTTGGGAAAGCCTGGACAGGTAGGTGGCAGCCCGTGTCTCATGTTGTATTTCTAACCCTAACCAGGCCACCTTCCTCACTGTGAAACTCTGCCTAGGAACAAAGCAGAGTTAGTTCCAAAATGTGGCTGAATATTTTCTTTCCATTTTTCCAAGGAGATAAATCACTTGTGTTATCTGGGGATAATCCTTGCCAATAGGGTGGGTGGAAATTTTTCCATCCAAGCTGTTATTTAATAAAACACAAATTGCCTCCAGGAATGTCTGATTTCTACCGACAATTCTGGGGTTCTGTCATTGACTTTTCAGCCAAAAACTGAAAGCATTTTGAACAAAAACTGAAAACTACTGGGGCAGGGACTGTCTCTGATGACGTGTCTGTGCGGTGACTAGCACAGCAGAGGCCTGCTTTCGGCGGAGGGCTCTCAGATGCTATTGTAACACCAACAATAACAACAATCAAAAGTAATTGTAGGGCCCTGTTTGATGTTTGCTTCAGGTGAGATGGTGGGGTCTCTGGGCACTTCTGCAATGCTCGTATTAATAATTTAACAGAATTGCAAACTCTGCATGTCCCAGCGATTTAACATCTAACCCTCCCCTTCGATGGCAGGGCTTGATGTTTGGTTATGCAACAGACGAGACAGAAGAATGTATGCCTCTCACTATCATCCTTGCTCACAAACTGAACACCAAGTTAGCTGAGCTGAGACACAACGGTGATCTCCCTTGGCTAAGACCTGACTCTAAGACACAGGTAAATATTGCTTTCTCGGTCTGTTTTTCTCCTCTGCTCAATACAGTAGCTTTAGGAAGGATCCTTTCAAGTCCTGATCACTTGCAGGCTAGATCAGTAAAGATCACTGATCTATCTAGATCAGTAAAGTCACCATTTTACTCTCCAAAAAAATCACAGCTGTCTTTTCCTGGTTTTCAATTGGAACTGCTATTTGTCTAGTTCAGGGTGTCACTTCAAGTGGGCAGAATGTCCACTTTATAACACGCAGTTTGATTTCAAGTATCAGAGGGGTAGCCGTGTTAGTGTGAATCTGCAAAAGCGACGAGGAGTCCTGTGGCACCTTATAGACTAACTGAAGTGTAGGAGCATAAGCTTTCGTGGGCAAAGACCCACTTCGTCAGATGCATGTAGTGGAAATTTCCAGAGGCAGGAATAAATATGCAGGCCAGGATCAGGCTGGAGATGACGAGGTGGATCCAATCAAGGAGGATGAGGCCCACTTCTAGCAGTTGATCTGGAGGTGTGAATTCCAAGAGAGCAGAAGCTGATTTTGTAGTTAGTTTGATTTCAGCTTCTTACTGACTGCATATAAAGCAGTTCCTCTGCTCAGGATGCAATCTCTTGAGTGTCACAAAAACTGGTAGCATGCATCTGGCTCTTGCACAGGGTACTGCACAGCTTTGACAAAACATTTAACTCTTTTGTACCAGGAGACGGGTGCTCCCTGCTGTCCAAAAATATGTACAAAAAAACCTAACGTGCAAATCTGGTTCATCAGTACCTATGAATTAAGGCTTTGGTTTCCATAGAATCCTAAGGATTTGAATTTCAATACGATTTGAGACCCTAATTGATTTAGGCGCAGTTGAAAATAGGGATGTGAATGACTAGTCGACTGTCCAATAAGCAAATGCTTATCGGATAGTCAACACACTAGTCAACTAGTTGCTTCCCTGCCTCCTTGTTGCTTCTATCAGAAAGAGGTAGGAAGGAGGGGGAAAGAAGAGGGTGTGCTTCAAAGCAGCAGTGCCACGTGCAGCCTGGGGTCAGTCCACAGCTGACCCCGGGCTGCATGCGGTGTTTCAAAGTGGCAGTGCTGCATGGAACCTAGGGTCGACCCTGAGCTCTATGTGGCACTGCCACTTTGTAATGCAGCGGGAAGCATGGGACCGGCTGTGGACTGATCTTTGCAGCACTTTCTCCTTCGAAGTGTACCAACAGCCTTGGGGCTGTTGCTACATTTCAAAGGCGGAGATGCCCTTATTGACTAATCGAATTGTCGATGCAATTTGCATCAACGATTCGATTAGCTGATTAATCTAAATTTAACATCCCTAGTTGAAAATCATAATCTTAGTATGTATTTCTAAGAGTGTCACTGGGGAGTGCATGGTGCTTAGGGATAACTTATTTGATTTGTACAGGAGCCTTTTGAATTTGGGGCCTCTTTGCTCACCAGTATATTTAGCAAATGGGAAAACCATCCACTTTATGCCTCACACCCATTAAACAGTTGTCTCCTCATATTTTGTTGCCTGCCTGCGGATCTGGTACAGCACAGCATGGTGTATGGCCTGCTCTCTCTTTCTCTCAACATTATCATACAGCGGTTTCTTTCCCCCCTCATTCCTCTTCAGGTCACTGTTCAGTACACCCAGAAAAATGGAGCTGTCATCCCGGTCCGTGTTCACACCATTGTGATATCTGTGCAGCACGATGAAACTATCTCGCTGGAGCACATGCGCAAAACCCTGAGAGACCGTGTCATTAAAGCTGTAGTTCCTCCCAAATACTTGGATGAGAAAACAATTTATCACCTCCAGCCCAGTGGGCGCTTTGTCATTGGAGGGCCACAGGTGTGTTTTCTTATTCTTTTCATCCTTCTACTAATCTGCCTTTCCCCATCGCATTGCTCTGCAGATGAACTTATGTCCTCAGCCTGCATTTCTAACAGAAGGGCACAGACTGAACACGTGTTAAGAGACCGGTCCTGCAACTTTGGAGCCAGTGGGAATTTCACCACTGATTTACATGGGATCCAGACCTAGGCCTTAATATACAGGTTGAACCTGTGTAATCCGGGATTCCCTGGTCCGGCAACGTCTGTTGCCACAGATGTTCCAGGACCAAATTATTCTGGTGGAGGGCAGGTGGCTGGGCTCCCCACTGCTGGGCTACCTGGTGCACTGCATCTGGGCAGCCTGGCACAACCCAGCAGGGCTGCCAGGCTGGTGGCAAGGGGGAGTCAGCCAGGAGGCAGTGACTGGTCAGGGCTAGGGGGAGCCAGTAGCATGGGAGCCTCACCTCCTCTGGTCTGGCAAAATTCCTCATCTGGGACCAGCCAGGTCCTGAGGGTGCTGGAGCAGGGGGTCCAACCTGTACAGTGTTCCAAAGAACCTTCTGAGAGCATGGTTATGTCCTATGCAGATAAGCAAGTTGGGCCAATCCTACTTTGAATATTTCTAGCCCCCCAAGGGGCTGGGCATGCTCAGATCCCATTGAGTTTAGCCTCTCACAAGAGCAGACCCTCAATCCTTTCTCAGGCAAAACATCCAGAGAAGCAAAAGGGACAGTCCAACATTTAGCAGCTGATGACTGGGGGCCTGCTTTTCAGAGGTGCTGAGCACAGCAGCACAAGCTGAAGCCAGGATTGCTAAAGAGGGGAATAGAAGTGAGAGTTTTGCCTGGCTAAGGAGTAGGGGCCAGGATTTGGAGTTTGATTTGACACTCAGTGAAATGAATGGCAGAATTCCCATTTACTTCACTACTGCAGGACCAGGCCTTTAGTTCACATGTTGTAAAAACATCCTCTTAGATCATTCTTTGTTCCTCTCCCCCTATGATGCTTCCTTGCAGAACTAGCCAGCACAATGCCCTCTTATCGGGGCACTCCTGACTCTCGGGGCTATTTTTTGTCTATCCTTGTTTACCCTTCTTCTTCTTTTTTTTTTTTAAATTCACTAACTTTACTGAAGTCTCTCTCAGGTATTTCTAGAAAGGCTGTTACCATAATATCTAGGTACTGGCATGCTGGGGTATAAAGCATGTTGCTAAAGTTAGTTTGTCATTGTATTATGACCTATACTAGAAATGTAGACTAGAAATGGTCAGTTAATAGTCATATTAGTAACAAACAAATCTGTGCAGTATTACCAATCTAAGAAACACCATCAGCATTGACAAATATTGGCTTTATAAATAATACTGAGTAGCGATCAGAACACGGGCCGCAATTGGCCCGCGGGCCGGACTTTGGACATGCCTGATCTAGGTACTGGCATGCTGGGGTATAAAGCATATTGCTAAAGTTAGTTTGTCATTGTATTATGACCTATACTAGAAATGTAGACTAGAAATGGTCAGTTAATAGTAATATTAGTAATAAACAAATCTGTGCAGTATTACCAATCTAAGAAACACCATCAGCATTGACAAATATTGGCTTTATAAATAATACTGAGTAGCGTATGACTTTTTTCTATTAGGGAGACAAGGTGAGTGAGGGAATATATTTTATTGGACCATCTTCTGTTGGTGACAGAGATAAGTTTTTGAGCCCCACAGGACTGCTTGCTTGCTTGCTTTCTTCCCCTCCTCCCCCTTTTCCTGTTCCCTCCCAACATGGCTACAACAATACTAATTTCTTCCATGTCTTACTCTGTTCTGTGTACCTTCTCATACACAGAACACACAGAAAAGACCATGGCAACAAAAGTAGGGGTGTGTCTAGACTACAGGGTTTTGTCAACAAAAGTTGGCTTTTGTCGACAAAACTATACCTGCGTCTACATTACCGCCGCATTCTGTCGACAGTAAGTTGACAGAATGCGGCAGTTTTGTCGACAGCGGTAAACCTCATTTTACGAGGAATAACGCCTTATTTTGAAATGACTCTTTCAAAAAAAGGCGCTATTGCATGGAAACTGCTTTTTCGAAAGAGAGAATCTAGATTCTCTTTCGAAAAAGCGGCTGGCTTTTTTGACAATACTGATCGTAGTCTAGATAGATGTTCTTTTTTGACAGAGGCTTTGTCAACAGTATCTGTCAGGTGTGCCGTCTAGAGGTAGCCTAGAAATGGGTAGCTATGGAAGTCAGATTTATAGGGAATCAAACACCTGTTCACACTGCCTCTGCAGTTACTATGTAGGCTACATCTACACTGCAGCACTAGACATGCTAAATTTCGGAAAAGCCTCTTTCGACAATGAAGCAGAAAAAGATATGCAATTCACATACTGCAAATTGTGTTTCTTTTTCCAGTTTATCTTTGCAGTGTAGACCTAGCCAAAGTCATATCTCATTTGGGCTCTTGGCATCACATTTCCAAAGCTAATGATGACTTACATTTTGGCTTTGGAAATTTGAGAGCTATGGTGAATGCCAAGTTATAATGAAACTTCTGTAGAGCATCTTCCCAGCAGCAGCAGCACCTAATGGCTCCTTAATTATATACCGTCTCCCTTAAAAGCGTGACTCCATAATGTGAGCTCTTTTTTTTAATCACCTTAAAAGTGATCTCTGTGTGAATATCTTGTCTCTCACTCATACATCTGATGCTCTCTTATAGGATCCTTCAGTTAAGTCATAATAATGCTAAGTTCATGACATCCCAATCATTCCCACTGCAAAAGGCGGCACTACACAAGCCTAAATTCTGAATGCACTGCAGATCAAACAGACGATTCCCAGGGGAGAGAGCTCAGATTATATTCAAGATCAGACAGCTGAAATTCCATTTTCTGTCATTCAGAATTTTCTTAGCAGAACTGGCCAAACATTTTCTGTGAATATTTCCTAAGTAAAGCTCTGCCTCTCTGTTTATTTACTATCTGCAAACCTCCCAGTGATTGAGTTTTATTGCCATGAATTCTCTACAAAGAGAATTTATAATAATCCTAAAATGTAAGTGACGAAGAACCCTCAAGTCATGTGCATAACTAATTTAGGCAGCCTCATCTTCCTATCACAGATAGCCTCCTCCTCCTTCCCCAGTTATCTCTATTACACCCATCTGTTGCCATTTCTTGTCTTAAAACAGACTGTGAACTCCATGGGGGCAAGGATTGTGTTTTCCTATAGAGCACCCAGGATAATGTGGTCATGATTAAGACTTGTGGGGGCTGCCAAAATGCAAATTATTATTAACTAGCACATTAACCCAGCTTTGCTTGGGTCCTTAAGGAGGGCTCAGGATAGCAGGATAGAGGTGTGGCAGGTGCAGGAGTCAGGGGTGGGGTGTGAGGAGGGGCTCTGTGAAGGGAACTTTGTGTGTGTGTGTGTGTGTAGTAGTGAGGGAAGGACAGAGGAGGTGAGGCCTCTCCCCCGAGATTCATACCACGGATACTTGTTCTTCCTCTTTCTGTTCCTGTCAGGAGCAAGAGCAAGTGCACAGCTCAGCTGTCCCCTGTGCTCCCCAGCCAGAGTGAGGAAAACAGCACACTGTGCACTTTCCCTTTCCTCCCTGACAAAGAGGAACAGCCAGCAATGGGATTACGCCCCACTCCATAAAGGGATTACGCCCCCCTCAGAAAGTATCCAAAGTAATAGAGCCTGATCCTGCTTCTAGTCAGTCCTAAGGTTGCCAGGTGTCCGGTATTCACCTGGACAGCCTGGTATTTTCGCATCCTGTCTGGTAAAAAAATTCAGAGAATACCGGACACTTAAAATGTCCGGTATTTTCTGATTTTTTTCCCCCAGCCAGGAGGCGAAATGCCGTGCACCTGGCAACCCTACAAACACTCAGCGCTCAGCTTCCCTCCACCCCGAGTCCCCCCTGAGCCCCAAACACCCTCGTCTCCCATGCTTACCTGGTTCTGCAAGGCTTCCAGCACAAAATGGCTGCCGATGCTTCTCCTTAGTGCTCTTAGAGCGGTCTTAGTGCTCAACAGCTCCCCTGTTCCTATCCCTGCACTCACTCACTCTTAAAGGAGACATGTTGTTTTAGTGCTTGGAGTCCTTTTTTTTTTTGCTCAACAACTTTGGTCTCCCCCTCCCCTTTTTCTCCCTTCAACAGAATTTTTTCCCGGTATTTTTTGGGGGGTAAGAAGGAGTGTTCGATATTTTTGTTTCAACCATCTGGCAACCCTAGTCAGTCCATGGAAGAATACCTATTGATGTCAAGCAAATAGATCTGTTTTCAGTGTGGTTCCCATACAAGAGTCATTTTGAAAGCTGATTTTTGGGATGTGGTGGCAGCTAAGAAAGCTTAGAATATCTGCCTTTGGAAAAGGCATTAGGAAATATTTCTGGGAGCAATAGGCATCTCACTAAATGCTCCTCATTAATGTCTGATCCAACTCTCAGTGAAATCAGTGGGAGTTTTCCATTCATTCCAGTGGGCTTGGAGTCTGGCCCTAAAAGAACTTATATAGCCATTGGTATGGTAATTCAGTGAGATAAGCTCACAACTGCTGGTGCACCAGAAGAACACACAAAGCATAGTCTTGCTTTCTGGAAGTTGCTTTCTCTGGGAGGAAATGACTGTAGTCATCAGACATTTTAAGGGCTCACAACCTGGAGCCATTTCAATAAAATGAGAGAGAAATAGTGGAGTTCTTTGTTCACAAAAAGGCTATTTGCGAATGAAAGCACGAGAGGTGACACTTGTTTGACTATCACAGGGTGATGCTGGCGTGACTGGTCGAAAGATCATTGTGGACACGTATGGAGGATGGGGAGCCCATGGAGGTGGTGCCTTTTCAGGCAAAGATTATACAAAGGTGGACCGGTCGGCAGCATACGCAGCCCGGTGGGTGGCCAAGTCTTTGGTGAAAGCCGGGCTGTGTCGTCGTGTGCTGGTGCAAGTATGTTCCATTTTTGAAGGTTGAACCTTTTCATGTTTCTGTTCTCCCTGAAAAATCTGCCTTAAAAAAATGGGTTTGTGAGGGAGAGAGCTGGTGTGGTGGCTGGCACTTCTCAAGCTATCCTTACCTTGGTTATGTCTGCAAGGGGGCAGGTGGAGAGAAATCAGAAGTTTATGGAACTCTGGAAGCTTAACTTAGACCTGGACTGAGCGTTCAAGGGTGAACAGGAGAAAGGTCTGGTTCTGTTTAATTCAAGATCATTGTCACTGGGACTTTCAGCACGTTAGCTCTTCCAGGGCTAGGCTTTTTTGGGTAGTTTGCATTCTGCTGGAGATTAATCTGGATATTTACGGGGTCCATCAGGTTCAGGAGGAGGGTGTTCGGATATGACAGAATATGGAATAGTTGCATAGATAAGTTCCAGCTAGCAGGTGATGGTTTGATCAAGAGAGGTGTGTGATGCTTTGCCCTCATCTTTTGCCATCATTGAGAGTGGGTCATGTCAGAGGGTTTAGAGATCATCTGGTATTGTCCCATTATTGGATAGGAGAGACACAAAGTCCCAGGAAAAGGGGGCATTAAAGTTCAGAAGCTCCAAATGGAGCTGTTAGCGTTCAGACAAAAGGTAGGTAGAGATGGGAAGTGAAAGAAGAGCCTTTATTTCCTCTGAGCTGGTTCATCCAGGCTCTGTAAAAATGTTGGTTCTGTCGCGTGTCCTGCTGGTCATACGAGGCTCCATCCTTTTTTTCTGACTAATGCTTTTGTCTGCCCAAGGTATCTTATGCCATTGGAGTGGCTCAGCCTCTCTCCATTTCACTGTTCACTTATGGAACCTCTCAGAAAACCGAGAAAGAGCTCCTGGACATTGTGCACAAGAACTTTGACCTTCGACCCGGAGTCATTGTCAGGTAAGCATGTTGCAGGAGCACACTTATATGAAACAGCCACAGTGAATACCTCAGCTGTGTCTAGACTGACCAGTTTTTCTGGAAAATCAGCGGCTTTTCTGGAAAAACGTGCCAGCTGTCTACACTGGCCACTTGAATTTCTGCAAAAGCACTGACTTCCTGCTGTAAGAAATCAGTGCTTTTTGCGGAAATACTATGCTGCTCCCGTTCGGGCAAAAGTCCCTTTTGCGCAAAACTTTTGCGCAAAAGGGCCAGTGTAGACAGCTCAGATTTGTTTTCCAAGGGCCAGTGTAGACAGCTGAGATTTGTTTTGCGCAAAAAAGCCCCGATCGCGAAAATGGCGATCGGGGCTTTTTTTGCGCAAAAGCGCGTCTAGATTGGCCACGGACCCTTTTCCGCAAAAAGTGCTTTTGCGGAAAAGCATCCGTGCCAATCTACATGCTCTTTTCCAAAAACTTTTCCGTTAAAAACATTTCCGGAAAATCATGCCAGTCTAGACGTAGCCCTCCTGTAACTTCTCTCAAAGATATATAAATCTTACCGAAGCCTGTACAATCTCCTGTGCTAATATAGTATTGGTCCCTATCGCACAAAAAAGATGTTTTACTTGTGTTCATAAACTGGAACTATTTCTGGACCTAATAGTATACCAGATCTTAGAAAAAGCCAGATGTAAGTTCCAATGGTTTCAGTCAGAGTTTTGTATTGTTAGTATAACCCACAAACCTGAGTGTGACATATTGTCGTCCCATGCAGTAGTACATAGGCCACTACTATGGCGAAATAATGAGTGTGTTCAACAGCCTCACCTGACAACCAGGTGGCTTTTAGCACATGCGGTAGAGACACATGCACTAAGCTCCAGAAGTCCCAGGTTTGGGTCTGCCTGTCAGTGTTACATTAGCAAACAACTTATTCCCCCTCTCAAAATTTAGCCCTGCATAAGAGGTTACTAAAGGTACATGTGCATGTTTTGTATTACATGTAATTGAAATAGTTTTGGATCCCAGTAATGTTAACTCATTTTTACTAGGAGCAGGCCTGAGGCAAATTTATTAGGTCAGGAGCTACCCCTCTGAGTCATTTTTACTAGAGTTGTTTGAGAAATGGAGACTATTTTCCACAGACATTTTACTGAAAATTGGGTCAACATTTCCATTAACTGCAATGGGCTCTGAGTCTATCCTGAAAAAGCTTCATACTAAACCTTAGCTCCACTTGCATGGTCATTATGCCATACCAGAAGTTAACTGGGACATTCGTGCTTCCAAAATTCAGTCCATTTGCTGGGCTGGAAGCAGGAACTAGCCCTAGTCCGCAGAACATCAATGATTTATTGTGTCACGCTTCAGAGTAAAGCATTTTCTTTTTTTTTTCTTGAACACTTAGGGATTTGGATTTAAAGAAGCCCATTTATCAGAAGACTGCCTGCTATGGTCACTTCGGAAGAAATGAATTTTCATGGGAGGTGCCAAAGACACTTGTGTTTTAGTAATAATGAGTCCATCCCCAAAGCAGAAAGCAAGAGGATTTT